TGTATAGATCTCATTTGGGACCAAAAATGTATAAAAGGACATCCAACTTTCATGCAAACATTCAAAATCTAACCATTCACTAGATCTAAACTTTATGACACTCTAAGGACCTTTACGACCCATAAAGTTGCCAACTTTATGGTTTCCAATCATTCAAACTTTCTCAATAAAGAGAAGAGTGGGACAAAACTTAAATCCAGCCTTATGCAGCAATAAAGGTGGAAGCTTTGACATTTACAAGGGTCCAGAGACAATATGAGGTGATGATAAATGTTGATTCCTTGCAAGATCCACCAAAAGATCACTTTCTTCTTCTTCTTCTCTTCTTCTTTAGGCCAAGAAAAGCTCCAAAAATCTCAAGAATCAAGCAAGGAATCATGGTTAGGGTTTTCTGAGGTGAAAGGGTGTTAGAGGCTGAAAGTGATCCCTAACAATGGTTTGGAGAGGCTTAAATACAAAGGAAACCCTAAAAATCATGGGCTTGGGTTGCGGTAGTTCTCACGTCATGAGCCTCTATGCCTCACATCGTGAGATTAGTCCCGGACACAATTTACATTTTAACCTATGTCACGTCATGACCACTCAAAGTTTACGTCGTGAGACTCCATGTAATGCCCGAGATTGTCAGGTAATTATGTTGCTTCTTATTCAAGTTATATTTATGCATATATTTGGATTTTGTGGGTTGGGGCGTACGCTGGGCGTACAAGGTGTACGCACGGCGTACACAAGTGAGGCGCGAAGCGGGAAGTCCCCATGCGTACGCTGGGCGTAGACTGGTCAGATGTAAACCCTAAATTTTAGGGTTTGCACCCTATTTAAGCATCATATATCCCTCCAAAAACTTATCCTCTCATCCTCCATTGTCCCCATAGTGTCCAACTTGAACCCTAACCCCCTTGCATGTATCTTGAGCTTACTTTGAGCATTTTGGTGTTATTTTGGTGGTTTTAAAGAAGAATGAGCTTGAAGAAGGAGTAAGAACTTGGAGAGGGCTTGTAGATGCAGAAGTTTGGCATCATTTCTGACCCATTTGAGGTATAAAGTTTTAAACTTGATCATTGCATGCTTAAATCTAGTTTTGGGGTATTTTATGTCACATTTTGGTCCCATACTTGAGGTCCTTTGAGTTTTAGAAGATTTTTGTCCAAATGAGCTATCCTTTTTGGCTCTTGGAGGTGTTTAGAACCATAAAAATCGGATCTTGATGGTTTAGCCTCAACCATGCAAGTGCTAGATGGCCATTAAGTGAGCTTATGGACTTAATGTGTGTCTTAATCCCCATCCATGCATGTAAAATCATAAAGTTCATAACTTTATGGTTTAGGGCATTGTTAGGAGCCTAGATCTGTGTTCTGGACGTTAGGACTTAATGGATTAAGTCAAAAGAAGGATCTTAGGGTGGCAGGCAGGAACGCTGGGCATACCTCCTGGTACGTTGCACGTACCGGGTCAGCTTCCCGACTCTGGTCAAGGTTAGCGTACGCTAGGCGTACATACTGTGTACGCCGCACGTACTCGTACAGTGGGCCAAGGGCTGTTTTTGGGCTGCGAGTGTTGGGCTTAGATTTGGTGGGCCTCAAACCACATGTGGACTGAAACCCTTGGGCCTAGGATTGGGATTATTGTATTGGGACTTATTGGGCCTTAAAGCCTAATTAGTTGGACATGGACATTTTATTATGAAAGTTGGGCCTTAGGAGGAAATGGCCCAATAGGACAAAGATAAGGGAACTATTTTCTTATGGGGTAGAATTGGGCCTTTGGAGTTATAGTTGGATCCAATAACTAATTAGGAAGTTGTTGTGCTTTAGGGAGAGGAGCCCGGAGTCATCCGCGGAGTACGATTCGACATTTATAGTTGAGGTGAGTCTCCCTTCGTAGAATCTGTGGGTCGAAGGCACCAAGGCCGGCCCACTAGTATTGATATAGTTTAATGATTGTCTTTGTGATAATTATTAAGGTGGTATGTATTGTTTGATGTTTATGTGAGATATGCATGATTTTATATGGTAGTGGTAAGGGGTGAGATAGACCCCGCAATCGGTTGGAATAAGACCGAAGGGTAGGTCGAGCACCCAGATATGCCTGACAAGGGTAGGTCGGGAACCTAGATATGCCTGGCAGGGTAGGTTGAGCACCCGGATATGCTCAGCAGGGTAGGTCGGGCACCCGGATATGCCTGACAGTATGTTATGTTGTATGTGGTATGGTGGGGGAAACTCACTAAGCTTTGTGCTTACCGGTTAAGTTTGTGTTTCAGGTACCTCTAACTCGAAGGGGAAAGGGTCGGCTTGATCGCATCGCATCACACTTTGATTTTCAGCATTCGAGATTTCGGGATTTATACTCTGATGATGACTTTCCATGTATTGTCTTGATTATGCAACTAAAACTACTTTGTGTCCTCATGGTTTTGAAAACAATGTTGTATGTGTTATGATTTGATAAACTTAAAAATGAAATTTTGGGTCGTATTTTTTTGGGTGTTACACTCCATTTATTCCAAAAATCGACATTTTGACTCCTTGAAACCCTAAAACGATCCATCCAGGAAAACAGGTGTTACAACAAGAGACAGACGAGTGGTCAGAGCTCTCTTTTTCCTACTCTCATCTCTCCGTGTCGACACCTCAATTCGGACTCCAACCATCAAGTGGATAAAAAACCACAATTTCATATCCAAAATCAATATCCAAAGGTTCCAAATCCAAAAAAAAAACCCATTAAATAACACAAATCGAAGAAGCGATCAAGACAATTCCATTTCCATTTCAGCATAGACCTCACACAGTCACCTTCGTCATCTTGTCTTTAACCATCATAACCACAATTGAATACCACCTTCTGTTTATTAGCCCTCTTTTTGACCTAATCATCACCATCACAGCACCCAAACCATCACCATCACACTTATCGTCTACAGACACAACAAAAGAAACCCTAATCCCAATTTGTTATATTCTCCAAGTCTCTGGTTCATCATCGTTTTCTTGTAAGTGGGGAGAGGGATGACGATTATCTGGAGTGTGTGTCTCGATTTTTACAGGGATTTGAGGTTTGAAAGAGGGAAGATGAAGACTAGTGTGGTGGATTTGAGAGAGAAAGATAGGGGACATCAGTTAACAATTAAATAAAAGAGGGGCAATTTAGTCTTTTCATATTATATTTAACAAAAAACTAATGGTGTTACTCATAATGACCATTTATGTGCAAGGCTTGCTCAGTTGGAACCATCCATGAAAAAAAAAGTTTCATAAGAACCATTTTAGGGATAAACGAAAAAGCTAAAGGACCATTTGTGAAATTTTGTAAAGTTTTTATTTCTATAAATCATTAATATGAATAAAAGAAGTAAACATTAATCATAGGCTAAACAACATATTTAATATGAATTTTGTTTTAGGGAAAATGAATTATAAGCCCAACGAAGTTTCCAAACCGTTCAAAAAACCCCAGTTATGTTTTGTCTGTTCAAGAACATCCAACGAACTTAACCTTTTGTCTAAAAAACTCAACCAACTTGCATTTCTCATTTAGGGTCAACCGGCTAATGAAAGTCAATGAATGACATGGCTTATGACGTGTAATTAAATATCGGAAAATTACTTGTAAGACCAAAGAAGTTTCAAAACCGTTCACAAAACCCCAATCATGTTTTTTTTGTTGAAAAAAAAAACCAACGAACTTACGTTTTTGTTCAATTCTCATTAGAGGCAACCAGATTCATTAGGTATACAACTAGTTGGCAAATGATATGGCATTATATTTAATGACATGGAATAAACAGATTAGAATTGCTCGTTATATATCGATTTAGGGTTTGGAGAAAAGAAAAACGAACGACGTCTGTGTTCAATCTCTTGTAATAGCTACTTCTTCTTCTTCTTCCTTTCAATCGTTGATGTCCAACTCAAGATCTACAAAGAAGATATTTGATGATGCAAATTCTTGTAGATGTAGACACCCTTCTCGGATTTGGACATCTAGAATGGAGGATCATCCGGAGATAATGTTTAGGGCTTGTTCGAACATATGGATAAGTGTAATTGAAAGCTTTATCATGTCCATTTTAATAAGTTTTTTTTAAAGAAACCAAACAAATAGATAGAATATGGACATGATAAAGCTTTCAATTACATTTACTCATCTGTTCGAACAAGCCCTGAACTTTTTTCTCTGGACGATCCTCCGTTCTAGATGTCCAAATCCAAGAAGGTCGTCCACATCCACAAGGGTTTTCATCATCAAATATCTTCTTTGTAGATCTTGAGTTGGACATCAACGATTGAGATGAAGAATAAGAAGTAGCTATTACAAGAGATCGAACACAGACGACGTTCGTTTTTCTCTTCTCCAAGCACTAAATCGATACATAAAGGGCAATTCTAATATGTTTATTCCATGTCATTAAATATAATGTCATGTCATTTTTCAACTAGTTGTATACGTAATGAATATGGTTGCCTCTAATGAGAATTGTACAAAAACGTAAGTTCGTTGGGTTTTTTTCAACAAACAAAACATGATTGGGGTTTTTTGAACGGTTTTGAAACTTAGTTGGTCTTACAAGTCATTTTCTAATATTTAATTACACGTCATAAGTCATGTCATTCGTTTACTTTTATTAGCCGGTTGACCCTAAATGAGAAGTGAACGAAAGTGTGAGTTAGTTGGGTTTTTTTAGACAAAATGTTAAGTTCCTTGGGTTTTCTTGAATAGACAAAACATAATTTGGTTTTTTGAACGGTTTGAAAACTTCGTTGGACTTATAAGTCATTTTCCGTTTTAGAGTCTTGAAATTTAGATGATTATTGTAGTGGTAACAATTTACATTTTGAAGTTAAATATTAATATTTCTATGCATAATCTACAGAATCGCGGATATCTCTAGGATTACAGTTACAGATAGCGATCAATAGTTCGCTTCAGCTATATATATTTCTGTTCCATCGACTACCCTCTTTTCATTGTAGGGGTTTTAGTCCTCTCTCATCATCATGGCAACTGTAATCAAGGTTTGTTTTCAGCTATATCCTTCTTCTTCTTCTCTTTTTGAATTACTCCACCGAATTCTCATTCTGTTTTCATAAGTGTGGTTGAGTGTCGCATGCGTATTAGTAAAATATCGGCATACTTTGCTAGGGCGTTCGTTTAGTGTTTTCACATGCTCTTTAAGAGTTCACGTTATTGTAGTGTAGATGAACCTCATGTGAATTGAAGTTTCTTGAGAGTTGTATTTTAGTTTTAGAAGATTCAGATTTTACTTTTGTGGTTTTCGGGTTCAATTCCAATTGGTATGATTCTCGTACTGAAGCAGGCATTACATACAATTTTACCATTATGCAAGTATGTCATGGATTTTTGTGACTTTCATGGTTAATGCGTGCTTGGTTTTCTTTGAAAACCAGTTGGTTTGACTACATATACTTTTAAATAATCCTCAAATACGTGTTATGTTTGGTGCAGATTAAATTTGGAGACACACTCAGGCGCATCTATGAGGAAGATCTTCTAGATTTTGACATGGACATGTTGAGGGAGAAGATCTGCATCCTCTTCGGTCTAGATCTTGATGCTGATTTTACACTCACTTACATCGATGAGGATGGAGATATAGTCACTCTTTGTGATGACAATGATCTCGATGATCTTGCGGCTCAATCTCTGAATCCACTAAGGATGACTGTAACATTGAATCCTAAATCTTCTCTTACATCAACACAAGACCAGCTTCAGATCAATTCCTTGAACTCTGCAGTTTCTTTGATCTTGAAATTTGTGCCAGAGCGACAACATAATGCACTTTTGAAGCTTTTGCTTGACGTTGCATGGGAAAACATGATGGGTGATCAACAGGGATTGAAGATTGAAGAAGCATCTGAGACATTATTACCATGTAAAGACGGAAGCCCAGACTCGAACAACGAAGCTTTGCAGGTGGACACGGTGAAGAAAGATGGAGTTCTTGAAAATGTAGATCTTAATGTTCCTTATTCCGAGTCTGAAACTGTTAAAGGCTCTGATGCTTCATCTTTACATGATGACAATGCCAAACTGAGGAAATCCGATGATTTTGAGACTTGTGTAGACCTTAACGAATGCCCATTCATCGGGATGCCTCTATCTAATGACTCAATCGTGCATTCATGTCCTTGTGGGACTTGTGTCTCTCCTCTTAAGAAGGGCGATATCGGTAGTAAAGGCTTAGGCAGTCTTACAATCCATGAGGATATTACGTGTGTTGGGTGTGGAGTTTGTCCCATAATTGGACCCCGATTCATATCAAAATCGTAAGTTCTTTCGAAGCTTGTTAGAGTACTTGTATACATATTAATAAATATTTTTGGTTATTTCTTGAATCATTACTCTTTTTGTATAGGAATATTATTGTTGATCTGTGTTGCACTTGCTTCGAGAAAACGGGAGATGATGCTGCTGATTATATCAGAATGGATCTCTCACCCTATTCTTTTTTCCGTGACAAATCTCCTGTTGCGTGCAATGACAAATTAGACCCAGAAGTCGAAGTTGTGAATACCAATATGGATAAAGACAATGAAGTTTGTGAAAAGAAACCTATTGGAATTGTGGAACCTGAAGATCTGCTTTTCGATGCAGTACAGCCACATAAGGACCAGGAGACGAGCACCTGTAAGAGTGTTGCGGTTCCATCAAAACTGGTGTAGGTGGAACCAATTGGTTCGAACCAAGGTAAAGTACCGATCTTTGGAGCAATCCAAATATCCAATCTCTGTTGGTTTCATAATAAAGTGAGCCATATCTAAATTGCCAAAAAACTTATAGTAAAACATAAAAACTTCTTTGGTGCTATGTGCACAGGGTTTTCATGATCCAAGAGTACTGGTTATTGGTAGGTTGGGATAATGATTACTAATAAAAGCTCTTCAAGACTCGATAGTATTTTTCAGTTTAGTAGCTTCGAACCATTTTATGGTGTGTTTTTTTATGTGCCACGTTTAGTAAGTATTAGTAAGTAGGTGTTTTTATATAGTTTAGTTATGTGTTTAATCCTAGACTTTATTTATTCAGTACAAATTTTTTTTTTTAAGAGGTTGAGGCACATGTTATCTGTTCATCAAAATGGCCCTTGTACTCTATCACATGCGGAAGCGGAACCGGTCCTTTGGGGCCAGGGAGGGCCATCGCCATCGCCCCTCGCTTTTCAGACCACTGATATATAACTGTTATATATTATATATTTAAGTTATTTCTAAGTTATTCAAAATAATAAGAATAATAATAACGTTGTGAAGAAACTTGAAAGGAACTGGTATGCCACAAAAATAAAAACTAGAAGTTTTATAAATACCTAAAAATCCTAATTTGAAGGACACCGGATTTAAACGAATTCTACAATTTTAATCAAATCATTTAATAAGGCCAATGAAAAAAAAACTAAAAACTCTCAAAAATATAACTGAAAACCTTAGTAAGGTTTCGGGGGTCTCAACTGTTTCTAGTTGTTCTATGACCGTGTTTAAACATGGTCTCACCTGATTTTGTGTTTTCTAATTCTTTTCATATCATACCATAATATTTTCCTTGTAACTATATGTTAAAAAAAAATACAATAAACCTACATAATACACCTGTTAAAATACCTTCAGTTAGATCATATCGAAAAATATCGTTTTAGAAATCTTAAATGTTTTTATTCTTGTTTATTTTCTATTTTAATCAACTGATGTAGTTCATGAGCGTCTAACCTATTGTGTATATATATAAAGATCATCTGGTTTTACAACTCTGAATAGAACTTTTTATACAAAATTGACGGATATCTACAAACTTTACATGGAAACCCCAATTACAATACAAAAATAAATATATATATTAATTTATTTCACAAATTACCCTAAAATGAAATAAAAACCAATTCTTTTGGTCAGAAAGGAAAAGTATAACTGCGAGTTTGGTGGACTTATGGTTCACGCAACCCAAACCATGGCCATGGAACTCAAAAATGTAGCACAAGCAACAGCAACAATGCTTCTCTCTTTGATCACGACTTTCAACAAATGCATGGCAACATCTCCGGTGATCTTCCTCCCTTCCACCGCCAGTACACGGCGGCGTTTCCCTGCAAAAGCCATCATCACCAGCACCATGGTCCACGTCACGATGGTGGCTCTCACCATAACTGCCATCAAACCTGCAATCAACAGAACACCTGCGATCATAGACCACATGTGGAATGACGACCGCCGTGATCCAGTGTGATCGGAATCATGAGACATGAAGATGTACAATGAAAGAAGCACAAAGAACAAGCATGACGCAGTGGTTTTCGATCTGGCGATCATCTGGGAGCTGAGAGAATGTGATGTTGGAGAGGAGGTGAGGAGATGAAAATTGTGTTGAAGAAAGAAGAAGGAAGAATGTTGCTTTTTAGATGAGGATGGAGGAGAGAATTAGTATCCATGTGGTATCGGCTTATTTGCACATGGACTGGTTGGCAATAATCACACCAACTTTAATTTTATAATTAAGTTCTGGCAAATACCCTCCTAATCATCTGATTTTATGATAAAAGGACAGCGACTTTTATATAGAAAAAGAACATTTTTTTATCACTTTTCTCGACATACATTGGGTACTTTGTGAAGGACGATACTTTTTTTTGTCCGAATATCTCAAAATTAAAAATCATGCCTAAATAAATCAATTTGGGTTGAATTTGTGGAGTTGAAGTTGATTTATTTTAATCTTTTATGTTATACTATCCTAGATTATTTCGTGAAAATATTATACTATCAATGTAATAATATAGTTTTTGTTTTCATATGTAATTTTTAATTTGATGGATTTTAGAATAATTAAGAACAGAGAGACAAGGGAATTTTCATTTCATAATGAAGGTTAACCATACATACCTACAAAAGCTATGCTTTTATATAACTAACTTTGTTTGGCAGCTGCGAATGCTTCCTCTGCTTTCGGTAAAAATACCAAAAGCCTATTCTCAAGGCATTCTTTCTCTTACAGCGCTCTTTCCTTCCCTTTGAGCTAGCCGTAAAAAATCCATTTTTGTTCTTACTTAAATAAATTCTCATGAGTTGCCTTGAGCTGGTAACTCAAAAATCGATGATTCTTAAGCTAAATTAAGTTTGTTAAAGACAACTAACTATGTTGGGCTACTAGCATTTTATACTCAAAATATTAGAATTAGAATGTACATTATACTTAGGCTAAGGGGTATTGTCACACCCAACCTACTGAAAAAGTGATGTCACCTCATCGCTATATCAGCTCCACTACCAACCCACTAACTCTTGGAAATGGTCACCACTCCACATCATTTTTTCTTTTTCTTTTTTTATTTTTTTTTACATTAGAATAATTTGAAAAATAATTATTAAACAAAAATAAAAACATAAATATTAATTAAAAACATTTTATATTAATTTAAAAAACAGAAATTTAAAATCTACGTTACTTAAAAAAACATAATCATTTAAAACCTAAATTACTAAAAAAAACATAGAAAATATTACTCATCGTCCTCCTCGTTTGATCCTCATCGTCATCCCCGTCGCCGTCATTGTCACCGTGTTGCTGGAATTGCATTTGCCATATATGTTCAGTCAAATCATAACGGTAATTGTGATGTGTTTCACTGTATTGTATTTCCAAAAGTCGTGTGAAATATGCAGGATTGCCGACTTGTATTACTGCAGGTGGGTTAAGAATATCTTCTGGATTATACATACAAATAGCCCTACCCTCTTCTTCTATTATCATGTTATGTAAAATAACACAAGCAGTCAACACCTTCGTCAATTTTGCCTTATCACATGACCGTGCCGGATGTTTGATAATGTGTCACTTTTGTTTGAGGACCCCAAACGCCCGTTCCACATCCTTCCTTGCCGATTCTTGTGCTAACTTGAACAATTTTTGTTTTTCATCGGCCGGAAATGAGTACGACTTGTCAAATGTAGCGTACTCTGGATATATCTCATCACCAAGGTAATACCCATAATTATATTGATGTTCATTCACAACGAACAACATGTTTGGTGCTTTACCCTGCAAAATATCATTAAATATCGGAGAGGCTCCAAGCACATCCAGGTCGTTGTTTGACCCAGCCATACCAAAGAATGCATGCCAAAACCATAGGTCATGTGAAGAAACGACCTCTAGTATAATAGTCGGCACGCCATGATCACCTCGTGTGAATTGACCTCGCCATGCATTGGGACAATTTGACCACTCCCAATGTGTACAATCAATGCTACCAAGCATTCCTGGTAAGCCATGTTTAGCTTCATGTGTGGCATACAACTGTTAGATATCATTTCTAGTTAGATGTCGCAAATATATGTCACCATAAAGCTCTATGACATACTCACAAAAAAGATAAGCACATTCTCGCCCAGTCCTTTCAAACGTTTTCAGATACTCATCTGACGCATCTACGGCTATGTCGTATGCCAATTGTCTAAGGGTTGTTGTGCATTTTTGTATTGTACTAAAACCACGTTTACCTCTTGCATCCCATCTCAATTGAAAAAACTCATAATTGTTTTACAAATCTCTAGCTATACGTAAAAATAAATTTCTACTAATACGGAATCGGTCTTCAAATTTTGATAGATCGTACAAACTATCAGGGGTAAAGTAATCACGTACCAAAAGCTTGTGTGCCGCCATACGATCCCTATGTATCGAAATTATATGCTTCCTCTCGATATTTGAACTTTCGTCTCTTTGTTGCACCCTATTGCGTGTCGCGGACAACAACATGTGCAACACCAAGTCATCTTCATCAGAGCTACCATCATCATCAGATGAAAAAGAAGAAATCGAATTCGCAAAATTATTCATATCCATGTTTGAAAGTGTGTTTGAAAAAAGGAATAGAGATATGTTTGTTTGAAAGAGGGAATAGAAATATGTTTGTGATGTGAATGGAAATGTGTTTGTTTACTGTGTATGTATTTATATATGTGTGTGTTAAGTTTTTGTTTGATTTTTTTTAATTGGTAACGGTCGAAGGAAAAGGAAAAAGGAACAGTAAAAAAATTAACCAATCACGTGCCCCGTCTTCGTCCGTAGCAGCACCTACGCACACCTGGGGCGGTGTTCACGCGTAGGTGGCCTTGCCATGTAGGCGCTACGCGTAGCTACCTCCCGACCATACCGCAAAGCTTTATGAATAGTTATGTAACATCTCAACCATAATGTTCATAATAATGGTTAGTAAATTCTACCATTATAACACTATTATTGCTAGAATTTATAATATAACTTTGAAGTTAAATTAAGGCTTTTGATAGGTTACAACTAACCTTTAAGTTAAATTAAGGCTTTTGATAGTTTACAACTAACTTATTTTTTTATTATTTTTTAAATTGTCATTTTAATAAGCTAAAAAATTGCTTATAAATTATCTTTTTTGAAACTTACTTACACAAGCTTTTCATGAGTTTTTTTTAATATTTTAATACACCCTTAAATCTTTAATTAGTTATAGAAAACTCATTATCGTAAATGTTTTTATGTTATTTTATATTTTTCAGCTAGCTTATCAGCTACATTTTACAAATTGTTATTTTTTTTATTAGCTAGTTTATAAGCTAAGCTACTATCAACTAGTTTTCAATTAGAAACTAGTTTTTCAGCTTCTACATACGAAAAAAATAGCCTAAGTTTGTTAAGA